GAATTGTGGCTTCGTGAATAGAAGCTTTTTAAACAAGGAGGTGAAAGTGTGTGAACTTAAGTTATTTGCATCGGAATGAGATTTAAAATTTTGTTTTCTTCTAACAGAAAAATTTGATTTTATTGAAAAAGGTATTCGTTTATAGGCATTTATATCAAGGTGTATAATACGGAATTTTGCCCTTGTTTCTGAATTGTTGTACATTGAACAGAACGCAAGCAGACTTTGCAGAGCTATGTTTGAAATTTCGCTCAGGAAAGGTTGGGCTCATGCATCGGGTGCTTGTCTCGACTTTGCAAAATCTCTGGAGAGAAGAATTTGGTCGTTCCAGACTCCTTTACGGTTTCTTTATGGAAACTTCCCTTGAACTTTTGACGATTGTTAATGATTTTTGAGGATGACTTATCTAGTAGTGAGGATGGTTCAGAAGTTTTTACTTAGTTTAGTTTTCTTCTATATACAGTTTGTTTTATTACGTAAAGTTTAACATGTTGAACAGTTTCAGACAATTAGTCCCGAACTTTCTTCATGCCGAAACAATTTTAAAAATAGAGCAGAAAAAGTTGACGTTTTGGGAGTTGTATGAAATGACTGACAAGGACTTAGGTGAGGCAACTGCTTGAAATGTTTTGGTAATGGATCTATCACAGCGGCAATTCTTTAATTTGCAGGATCTTTACTCTCCACTAACGATGGTCAGAAAGTGTATGATGCAATTCGTATGATTCCATTCTTGTACTTGGAGGCTTCAGTAAAACCTATAACGAGGTTTCTTCTATTTTTTAAATTTGTTTTTTTTTTCAAACAGATTATCAAGAATCTTTAGTGGACTCGTCAAAACTTTTTCTTCTTTGGAAATGCAGCTTTGAATGACTTTAAAATCGATGTTTTTTTAGTTTTTATTTTTATAATCTCACACTAATTATATTATGTTTTAGCACCATTATTCAAATTTCTGTAGCGGTGACTCCCGACTTTGTTTGGGATGATAAACTTCTTGGAGGTGGTTCACAGTCGTTTTGGATATTCGTCGAAGATCTGAATGAAAATTTAATTTTGCACTACGAGCGTCTCACTGTCAATAAGAAAAAGGTATTGCTAGCTACTGTTTTTTGCATTTTTTTGAGTACTTGTTGTTTTTGATGTTTTCAGGTGGTAATGGGAGTGCCTCAGAACCTTATATTTACTGTACCGGTTCATGAACAGCAACTCTCTCATAATTATCAAGTTCGTGTTTCTAGTGATTATTATGTAGTACCTGATAATGTGGTGCCAGTTTCTATGCATAACTGCGTCCTTCCATTTGCCAATTGTCCTCACACAGGTAAAGAACTTTTCGTTTCTAGGACACTTCTGTTTTGTTTTCCTTTTGGTGCCTAACTTTTAATTTATGCGAAGTCAGTTATTTTCAGACTTGCTTGATTTGGATCCTCTTCCGGTAAAGGCTTTACACAATAAGGCATTCGAATCAATCTATAATTTTCCTTATTTCAACGCTATTCAAACTCAGGTTTTTTTTATTATAACGTAATACAACTTGGGGTTTTTGGTGAGTTAGACTGATTTTTTGGGATTTTAAAATGCTAAAACACAGGTGTTTCACTGTTTGTACCACACAGACCAGAATGCGTTGATTGGCGCACCAACTGGATCTGGTAAGACTCTGTGCGCTGAACTTGCTATATTCAGATTAATAACAGAACAACCAAAAAAAAAGGTTTGTTTAAGTATGTCTACAGCTTGTATTAAACGGGAATTAGTAAATTTGCGTTTGATAACATTTAACAGGAATTATTACGGAGTAATTATTTTAGTGCGTTTATATTGCTCCCTTGAAAGCGCTTGTTAGAGAAAGAGTTATTGACTGGAACAAAAAGTTTTCACAACTGTTGGGCATGAAGTAAGTAATGTTCCAGTATAAAGCAGCTCTTTTAAACTTTCTCGAAATATCTCTTTGATTACAGTTTCATCTTCTAAGTTTTCTTTCTTTCACGTTGTATTTTTCCAAAGAAGCCTTTTTTTCAACTATTGCTATTTTTTGCCTCAGCTAGTAATCCTCAAGTGCTTCATTGGAAGAAATTGTTACAGCTTTTTAGGCTCTCATTTTCAAAAAAGTCTTTGCTGTCAGCTGAACCAGTAATTCAGCAAGCTTGAAGGTTTTTGAGCCTATTGCAACAGTGACAATTCACTTCATTTTTGTTCTTATGAAAACTCTAATTAGTTCATTGTCACTCGGGGCTTCTAACTGTAGGTGCGTGGAGTTAACTGGCGATCATACGCCTGATTTGCGAAGTTTGTCGGAAGCAAAATTAGTTGTTACAACTCCTGAGAAATGGGATGGCATCACGCGTAGTTGGGAATCTCGCGCTTACGTCAGAGAAGTGGCCTTGGTAATTATTGACGAGATACACCTGCTCGGTGTCGAACGTGGAGCAGTCTTGGAAGCGATTATAACGAGGTGAAAAAAGTAGTTTTTTGGCTTTTGACTGGATTTTCACCTGCAGTTTGTTGCTATTTGTTTGGTTAATAATTCTAGGATTAAATTAGTCTCTGCAAAACAGAAGAACATAAACCCGCTTCGTGTTATTGGCTTGTCCACCGCCCTTGCCAATGCAGGGGATGTTGCTGAGTGGTTGGATATTTCTGAGGTCAGCTAAGACCACTTCTATTTCTTCGACCTTACTTATTTTTAAGTAAACAGATAAACTCCCAATAATTTCGGGCTTTTGATAGTCGGTACTTTCTTCGAGAAACTCTAGCTTTACTAAATTAGCCGAATTTTTAGGCTGTCGTCTTTAGGTTCCAAATTTTGCTTAAATCATATGTCTTTTACAAAGTAGCTTCTTTAGAGTAGAAAGATATTCTTTTGAAAACTCTTCGAAATTTTTCAAAAACTTTTTAAAATAAGGCTTCTTAGACACTGAATTTGGTACCGTAATTATTTTCATTGCACGTTTCTTATATTTGCTTCTTTTTTTTTTCAATGATTGCGCATGAAACGAAGAAAAAGGTTTTATTTGAATCAAAGGCAGTCAAGCAGGGTGGGTCGTGTTTGCCATCTTTTTTTATCTTTAGCTTTTAAAATAAAGCGTTTTAGAAGAATATTTTTCTGAAATCTTACGATTTAAAATGCAGGATTAATGATAAAATTTCACTGCTTTCGAATTTTTGCAGGTTTTTGTTTTCCTTGATTTATAAAAAGTTTTAATCTTTTTTTTTTTTTTTGTTGATATAAAATGCCGATCGCTAGGCAAGCGTCATTTATATGTGCAGTTTAGTTTTTTTAAAAGTTTTTCTTTGAGCTTTGTTCTTAATATAGCCTTTTGTGTGCCATTTTTAATTCATCTCAGGCTGGCTTGTACAACTTTCGTCCCAGTGTACGTCCTGTACCTGTGGAGGTGCATATCGCGGGATTTCCTGGTCAGTATTACTGCCCTCGAATGGCGCTCATGAATAAACCAGCTTTTAAAGGTTTCTTTTAATGTGAATATTCCAAAATATGCGAAGTAATTGTTATCATTTTTCATAGCTTGAACTGCTTCTTACAGCTATTAAAACTTTTTCCCCCGATAAACCTGTTCTGATCTTTGTCGCATCACGCCGTCAGACTCGTCTAACTGCTATGGCATTCGTGTCACAATTAGTGGCGGAAGAGAACCCTCGACAGTGGCTTAATGCAGACATACAAGAGGTAAAAATTTATCGAAATAATGATTTTTAATTGTGTGTATAATATTGTTTACATCTATTATGTCCATTGTAGTGAAGGGTAATTTTTTGGAGAGCTTCTTTTATAAAATGCTACTGATTTTAATGCAACTTATTGAGTCTGCAGGCTTGGTTTTTCGTTTTTTGGAATTGTCAATTTGTTTTAAAAGTTTTTTTATCTTTTCCAAGATCTGTAAAATATTTCAAAATGTCTTTCACACTTGGAAATTTGTGGCAAATGTTAGATTAAAACTAATACAAGCGAAAGGAAACTCAGTATGCTGTATTTTACAGTTAGAGGAAATCGCTCAGACTTTGAAAGACGAGAACTTGAAGCTAACCTTACCGTTTGGGATCGGAATGCACCATGCAGGTTTACAACAACACGAAAGAAATGTTGTGGAACAGGTCTTTTTCATTTTACTTACTTTTTTTACTAAGCTTCTTGCAAATTAGGTTTTTATTTAGTTATTCCTTGAAAGAAAGATACAAGTTTTAATAACAACGGCAACCCTGGCTTGGGGGATCAATCTGCCAGCACATTTAGTCATTATAAAGGGAACGGAGTTTTATGATGGCAAGACTCACAAATATGTCGATTTTCCTGTAACTGGTTAATTTTTACAGAATTATTGAATGTTTATTTTTTACCGAAATATATCAAATTTGACTATTTCAGTTAAGTCTTTTTTAGACGTTCTTCAAATGATGGGTCGTGCTGGACGACCACAATACGACAATTCTGCTGTGGCAGTAATTTACGTTCAGGATATCAAAAAGCCATTTTACAAACGGTTTTTGTACGAACCGTTCCCAGTGGAGTCTAGGTAGTCACAGGTTTTTTTTCTTGCGTTTATAATTTGCCCTTCATATTTTCTGAATAAAAGTAACTGAAACTAAAATCTAAACGACTTACTTTGCTTTAATTCTACAGTAATGTCATTTTCAATCAATTTATATTGTGGAGGAGCGACTTTAGCGCTTTCTGTCTGCAGTCTTTAGTAACTTTTTTTACCTTTCCAAAAGATGCTGTTGTTGCATTTTGGGTTTGCAGAGGTTACCTTTTTTAATCCATAATTATGATGTATTTTTAGAGGACAAGGGAAACCTCATCTCGAGCATTAGTTTATTTTTCTTTTGAACCAAATTGCTTTAGAAGTTGTTAAAGTTTCTCGGTTTAAGGTATTGGATAAAATCGTCCTCTTTGGTTATAGACGTAAAGTTCGCCTTTTACTAGGCTGTAAAATCTGGTTACAATAACTTAGCTCTTAGTTTCGAATCTTTGGTGTATATTGCCGCTTATTTAAATTGCAGTTTACTACCAGTTTTACCAAACCACATCAATGCTGAAATTCATGCATGTACAGTATCGACAAGAAATCAAATAATGGAATATATCGCTAACACGTATCTTTACAGACGCTTATTTGCTAATCCAGGGTACTAGTTAAAGTCTCAAGTTTTGCATTGTTAGTGACTTCGAAAGTGTTGTTAGAAATTTTTAATAATTTTAAGGACAGACTATGTTTTCGGAGTTTTGCAGTGAAGCGAAGATGGAGTATCTGAAGTCTTCTTAGCTTTAATATTACTCCGTTCAGGTATTATGAAGTTCCTGAAGTCACAGAGGAAGCACTTACATCTTTCCTTGTAAATATTGTTGACCATTGCGTTGAAGAACTGCTTGCTTCGAAGTGCATTACGTATGAGGAGGTGGGTTATTAATAAACTATTTTACTACTGCCTTCAAAAGTTTGTTTAAGAAGACCACAGTGAGGTGACAGTTTGAAATATTTTCGTTTCTTTACCAACTGCATTTTGAAACACTTTGTAGGAAGAACAAATATTAAAGTCGACACCACTAGGACACATTGCTAGCATATATTACTTGCGCCATGAAACAGTCCGTTTCTTCTCTTACGCCGTCACCTCTAATTCTTCTGTATACGACATGTTGAAGATTTTGGCGGTTAGACTCTTATAGTTTCCAATAATTTTTGTCCATTTGTTTTCGTTAAACAAAATTCCTTGATTAGTATTTGACTTCATAATACCGTGTGAATGAAAAATACCATTTTCCACTTATCAGTTCTATACGGCTTCAAATAATCATACATTTTTTCATGATTGAAGTCTCTGTTACAAAAGCTTTCGGCATTCACCCTCATCGTGAATGCAGTGGCAGTCTTGATTTTTAACGTTTCTGATTCTTTGAGATTTTTTGGAGTTTAATTTTGTAGTCACATTCAAGTTACGTGAATTTTAACTTTTCTTATACTGACAGGACAATCCTGAATACAGCGAAATACCCGTTCGACACAACGAAGACCAAGTGAATGCGTAAGTTTTTTACTTTTTAGAACCTTTCTTGCTGGCTTGCCAACATTTTAGTCCAAGAATGGGTTTCTTTCCATCACTTTGGCAGCGCTAGGTAAACTTAGCCCATTTTCCCTGTAAACTTTCCAATTATTCTGCATTTCTTGGGAAAATTTTCGCTCGGGATCACGTGGCTATGTCATACCTTTTTTCAGACAGTTACAGCGATATTTGCCAATTAAGTTGCCACCGGAATGCGAAATGGACTCCCCGCACACGAAGGCTCATTTGCTTTTTCAGGCGCATCTTAGCCGTTTACCTGTCCCCACCGACTATGTCACTGACTTACGCTCTGTACTTGATCAATGTGTTCGCATAATACAGGTTGGACATTTTTGTTCTTATTTCTTCCACTGTGAAATGCGTAGTAATAGAATTAATTTGGAGGACTTTTTTTTTTGAATGCTTTTAGCGAGTTTTGTTCAAAAAGCCTTAGACGTTTAATGCAGTTAAAATGTTACTTTTTCAGGCAATGTTAGACATATGTGTTATAAAAAGGTGGTTGGCTGCTGCTATAAATGTAATTACAGTGCTCCAAATGATAGTTCAGGCTCGTTGGTATACCGATGACCCTCTCTTGGTGCTCCCGCACTGCACTGAAACTTCTATTGACGACATTATGTCAGTTGTTAATCTTTTTTTTTTTTTTTTTTTTTTTTTTTTTAAAAA